TGGTTAATGAGATGCGACCACTGGTTAATGAGATGTAACCACTGGTTAATGAGATGCGACCACTGGTTAATGAGATGTAACCACTGGTTAATGAGATGTGACCACTGGTTAATGATATGTGTCTACTGGTTAATGAGATGTGTCTACTGGTTAATGAGATGTGTCCACTGGTTAATGAGATGTGTCTACTGGTTAATGAGATGTGTCTACTGGTTAATGAGATGTGTCTTCTGGTTAATGAGATGTGTCCACTGGTTAATGAGATGTAACCAATGGTTAATGAGATGTGTCTACTGGTTAATGAGATGTAACCAATGGTTAATGAGATGTGTCCACTGGTTAATGAGATGTGTCCACTGGTTAATGAGATGTGTCTACTGGTTAATGATATGTGTCTACTGGTTAATGAGATGTGTCTACTGGTTAATGAGATGTGTCCACTGGTTAATGAGCTGTGTCCACTGGTTAATGAGCTGTGTCCACTGGTTAATGAGATGTGTCTTCTGGTTAATAAGATGTGTCCACTGGTTAATGAGATGTGTCCACTGGTTAATGAGATGTGTCCACTGGTTAATGAGATGTGTCCTCTGGTTAATGAGATGTGTCCACTGGTTAATGAGATGTTACTACTGGTTAATGAGATGTGTCTACTGGTTAATGAGATGTGTCTACTGGTTAATGAGATGTGTCTACTGGTTAATGAGATGTGTCCACTGGTTAATGAGATGTGTCTACTGAATAATGAGATGTGTCTACTGAATAATGAGATGTGTCCACTGGTTAATGAGATGTGTCCACTGGTTAATGAGATGTGTCCACTGGTTAATGAGATGTGTCCACTGGTTAATGAGATGTGTCTACTGNTGGTTAATGAGATGTAACCATTGATTAATGAGATGTGTCCAATGGTTAATGAGATGTGTCCAATGGTTAATGAGATGTAACCAATGGTTAATGAGATTTAACCAATGGTTAATGAGATGTGACCACTGGTTAATGAGATGTAACCAATGGTTAATGAGATGTGTCCAATGGTTAATGAGATGTGACTACTGGTTAATGAGATGTAACCACTGGTTAATGAGATGTGACCACTGGTTCATGAGATGTGACCACTGGTTAATGACATGTGACCACTGGTTCATGAGATGTGACCACTGGTTCATGAGATGTGACCACTGGTTAATCAGGTGTTATGCTAATATTTTACCATGAAGTCACTGAGTTGCAGAGAAGTGGTTCTGCTGGATGTCAGAAGACTGTTAGTTTGTTCTGGTGTTTCTTAAACAGCAGAATATTTCAAATGAAACTGGAGCAAAGCATTTTTATTTGGACCTTGTGTCTTCTCAGCAAGAAGACTGTGAGAAGGCTTACTTCAAAATGGACAACGTGCTCATCGATGACCGGCGGATTCATGTGGACTTCAGCCAGTCAGTAGCAAAGATCAAGTGGAAAGGAAAAGGTACTGTCATTCATAAGATTCCATATGTGTTCTTTGTCATTTTTCCTTTTTTGTAAAAGGAGTTTCTTTTTTATCCTAGGTGGGAAGTACACCAAAGATGACTTTAAAGCCTATGAGAAAGACTTGGAGAACCGATCCAAACTGGCTCTCAAAGATCAAATGAAGCCTAAACAAGAGTATCCTCAACTTAAAACATGTTTAAGATTGGTTTATTCCCACTTTGTCCCACGAATTGTATTTGTGTGAATGCTGAGTCAGCAGTTTTTCTTTATTATAGTTTCTAATGTACATTTTGCACTTTGCTAAATTTTGATGGCTGTTTTCCAAATTTTAGCTTTTTGGCTACTGTTTGTTTGTTTTTAATTTTAGCAAAAAGAAATTACAAAATTTGACTGAGTTGTTTTCCTAGTTTTAGCTTTAGTTGTTGTTTTATATTTTAAGCATTTAGCTAGTGTTTTGCTCATTTTGACCCTCTGGTTTCAACTGTTTGCAGCTATATATCTAATTCTAAGTTTAGTTCTGACATTTAATTGAACTCTTCAGATTTATCTTCTTGTTAAATGTCAGTTGTTTTCATCTTTCAGCATTCTGACTGTAGTTTCTGTAAATTCTGCACATTTGATGGTTTGCCCGTAACTTTATGGTTTGATCGACCTGTCTGTTCTGACTTCCTCGTATTTTTTTGGGAGATTTCTGTAACTTTCCCCAAAGATCCAAGTATGAGTTGCTAATTGAGGATGAGGAGGAAACGAGCCATCAGTACTCTGAGAAGAAGCACAAAGAGAAGAAGCACCATCATCATTCAGACGAGGAGGACAGAAGGAAGTCTAAAAAGCACAAGGTACACTCACTCAAAACTCTTTGTTCTCGTGTTTTTATTTCTCAGTTCTGTCTGAAACTGAAGCAGGTTGTTAGTTTGTTGTGATGCTGTCAGTCAGGTGCAGCAGAACCTTCATGGAAGATTTTATCAGACATCAGGTTTCTTCTTAAACCTGATCTGGTCTCCGCATGCTAACTTATTCAAGAATGTGCTCCGACTCCACCGCATGTGCGTAAATATTTTTGTCAATGAACTACTCTTTTAATGAGAAGGGCGTCTCTACAGTCAGTTTCTTGTTTTGTGGGAGGAGTCTGCCCAGGACATGATTGGTTGGATTGACGGTGGGGTTTGAAGAAGCTAGGTGCAGCGGGGAGTAGCTTGGTCGAATTGACCAGGAAGCGCCTATATTTATTAAATATACCGTATTTATTTGTGGATAATACGATCTCATGTATAATATGATCTCATGTATAATATGATCTCATGTATAATACGATCTCATGTATAATACGATCTCATGTATAATATGATCTCATGTATAATACAACCCCCTTTTTTTTAGCTTAAAAAGCGTAAAAAATTTAATCCTCAAACTACCTCCAATTTCATACAGACTTGAAGATTATTCAGCCTTTGCAGTCTTTATACATATCAGTAAAATGATCATTGGACTGTTCATTTTATTTTAACAACATACAGTGGGGAGAACAAGTATTTGATACACTGTTGATTTTTCAGGTTTTCCCACTTGCAAAGCTTGTAGATGACTGTAATTTTTATCATAGGTACTCTTCAACTGTGAGTGATGGAATCTAAAACAAAAATCCAGAAAAATACAATGTATGATTTTAAATTATTAATTTCCATTCCATTTCATTCAGCTGCTCCACGCCTCTTTTGGATCAGCGCTGCGGGTTCATTATGAACACGTTTACGTGAGCGGGACCTGCCCGCC